TATGGTTATTATATACAGCTCAGGAGTTGGTTGTATGGAATTTGGATTTAATATTTTTTCCAGTTACTGCCCACGTTAGTATGTTTTTTCATTTTGAAGTTAATTAGTTTTAAGGTGGCTTAGAGATACTGTGTTTCAACTTCAATGTATCATCTTTTTTCTCTTTCTGACTTTCTGTTACCCTATATATATATATATATATATATTTATCATACTTTAAGTTCCTATAAACAATGTGTAAATAAATACATGCATACACAAATTAGAAATGTATGTCTCCATGCCACGGATACCAGCTGTTTATCTCATTATTGTGTGGTTCTGTGACTGTGTGTTGGGTGGGGACTGAAATTGTCTTGACTGATTAACTGTAGTACCCAGTAAGCTATTGGCTATGACCTGGTCTTCAGTTACCACCTTCTTTTTCCTGAAGCCAGGTATATGAGATGTTCTTTTTTGTAAATTTACCCAGTGCTAAGGCAACTGAATTTACGCTCATGGATTTGATGGAAGCTTAGCAGAGCTCGAGAAAATATTTGAGATTGCAACCAAAGGTTCAGATGATGAGAAGATATCTGCTGCTAGCATTCTTTGTGGGGCATCTCTAGTTCGTGGTTGGAATGTACAGGTAATTTGACAGAAGGTTACTTCCTACAGGGTGCATTACAGTCACATAGTCTGTCATTGTAATTCTTGAGTGCGTCAGATGTTTGTTCATCCCTTCTTTCTTTAAATTTTCTTCTCTTCATACTAATGTTGGGTTTTTTATGGTCTTGCTTGTTTGTAGGAAAATGCCATTCTCTTCATTACAAATTTGTTGTCACCACCAGTTCCTGCCAATAATTCCGGAAGTGAGAGCCATTTGATCAGTTACGCTCCATTTTTGAATGTTCTTCTCGTTGGAATATCACCTGTAGACTGCGTCCAGATCTTCTCTTTACATGGCTTTGTAGGTTTTATTTTTCATGATCCATGTTTTCTACAGACTTATATGTGAATATTCTTGTCTGTCATATGAATTGAAAAAAGGTCAATGGAGCTAGTTTTTGAACAAGTTTGCTAAAAGATCCTTCTCTTTTATATTGCAAATAAATGATACATGGGTTTTCCCAATCTGTGCAGAATTGATGGGATTTCCTTAGTAACATCTTTTTAATTTTGGACCATTAAAAAATTAGTCAGCTCCTTTCCGCATTTGACAGAGACAATAAGTTGCATGAATAATGAGGCATGCCTTGTGCACACATCCACACAAGAAAAGAAAGGATAGCAAAGGGTTGTCTGTTGGGAGGGGAAATCATATGTGCTTCATGCACTGATGTTATTTGATATTCTTGTCAGGTTCCACTACTTGCTGGTACATTAATGCCCCTTTGTGAGGTTTTTGGGTCAACTGCTCCCAATGTTTCATGGACTCTTCCAACAGGGGAAGACCTGACTAGTCATGCGGTGTTCACCAATGCATTTACTCTTCTACTGAGATTATGGAGGTTTCATCATCCCCCTCTTGATCATGTGATGGGAGACACAACACCAGTGGGATCCCAACTAAGTCCGGATTATCTGTTGTTGGTTCGAAACTCTAAATTATCAGCTTTTGGAAAATCACCAAAGGATCGTTTGAAAATTAAAAGGCTGTCAAAAAATTTAAATTTCTCTATGGAACTCATATTTATGGATTCCTTTCCCAAGTTGAAATGCTGGTACCGGCAGCATCAAGAATGTATTGCTTCCACCCTGTCAGGACTTGTGCAAGGGACCACTGTTCATCAGATCGTTGATGCACTCCTCAATATGATGTTCAGGAAGGTAAGCTGGGGTGGTCAGTCTTTAACTTCTACAACTTCTGGAAGTAGTAATTCTTCTGCATCTGGAGCCGAGGATGTATCTTTGAGACTAAAAGTGCCTGCATGGGATATCCTGGAAGCAACTCCATATGTGCTTGATGCAGCTCTGACAGCCTGTGCCCATGGAAAACTCTCGCCCCGTGAACTGGCGACAGGTTTGTCCCTTTTCTTTTTCTTGCTTAAAAGCAGTCATATGCATGGAAAATATATTGGTATACCTTGAATTAGAGATAATAGTATATCAAGAGCTTACTAAGGAAGATACTAATAGATCTTATTGTCAAGTTAATAATAATGCTTAGGGTGAAATTTCAGGCATAACTTTTGAATTTGAAGTTTAGATGCTTCTTTCTGTTCGGTTGGAGTTGATGTAATTTTGTAAATTGACCCTCTGGTTAATTGCTGGTATTGTGCAGAAGTGTTTTTGGGGCCACTGTATTATGCAGAAGTTTAATTTGAATTTATGCTGTTGTGAGTTTGTTCCTATTTGAAAACATGATATCACATCTAGTTTGACAATATCTACATTAATATCTGAAAACTAAATAAGGGGAATGCAATATAGTGATAATAAGTAGTTGCAAACTGTTTGTGGCATAATCCAATCAATTGCACATTAGATTTATGTAAACAGTCTATTTAAGTTGATGAGGTGTTCTATATCTTTCATAAACACAGTGCATGGGCTGCATTTCTGAAGTAATCAATTTACAATGGAAATGGTAATATCCTGTTCTTCCATATATCTTTATTCCTTTGCAACATAATTTTTTTGCCTGAAATATCTCAGGACTCAAAGATCTTGCTGATTTCCTTCCGGCAACTCTGGCAACCATTGTCAGCTACTTTTCTGCTGAAGTAACACGAGGTATATGGAAGCCAGTTTTTATGAATGGATCAGATTGGCCAAGTCCAGCAGCAAATTTATCCGTTGTTGAGCAGCAAATCAAAAAAATTATAGCTGCCACTGGTGTTGATGTCCCAAGCCTTGCCGTAGGTATTATCTTGTACCATTATGTTTGTTCCCCCTTGCTGAATATTAGTTTGTGGGCATATGATAATTGTCTATTGAGATGCATCTCCAGAAGTAACTTTTTGAACAAAGGTTGCACCATTTGTACTGCCCACTTATGTGTGTGTGGTTGTGTTTTTCTTGCTGAATGGAAGCATGAATGGAAGGTGGATCTAAAATTAGGATCAACCTACATGTACTTTAGATACAGATCTGCCGCCAGTGATTTAGCAGGATCCTGGAAATGTTAAAAATGTTGGAAAGATGAATTTTACTCCAAGCTTGTGTAGGGAATTTTATGATTTGACAAATTTGTCAGCTAATGTTATGTCTCAAATCTTCTTTTTTTTTTTTTTGCTTGCAGGGGGGAGGTCTCCGGCTATGCTTCCTCTGCCCTTGGCTGCCCTTGTTAGCCTCACAATAACGTATAAACTTGATAAATTCTCTGACCGATTCCTTATATTAATTGGCCCAGCATTGAATTCCCTGGCTGAAGGTTGCCCATGGCCTTGCATGCCCATCATAGCGTCACTATGGGCTCAGAAGGTTAAGCGTTGGAGTGACTTCCTTGTGTTCTCTGCTTCTCGTACCGTCTTCCATCACAGTAGCGATGCTGTAGTTCAACTTCTTAGGAGTTGCTTCACATCTACTCTTGGATTAAGCCCCTCTACCATTTACAGTAACGGTGGAGTGGGTGCACTCCTTGGCCATGGATTTGGTTCTCATTTCTCAGGAGGAATGTCTCCAGTTGCCCCGGGGATTCTGTACTTAAGAGTGTATCGATCAGTCAGAGATATCATGTTTATGACAGAAGAAATTGTCTCTCTTTTAATGTATTCTGTAAGAGATATTGCCAGTAGTGGGTTACCTAGGGAGAAATTGAAAAGGACAAAGTTTGGACTGAGATATGGGCAAGCTTCTCTTGGTGCAGCAATGGCACGTGTCAAACTTGCTGCATCACTAGGGGCTGCATTGGTTTGGTTATCTGGTGGGTTAAGTTTGGTCCAATCGCTGATCAAAGAAACGCTACCTTCATGGTTTATATCAACCCATACACCAGAGCAGGAAGGCGGGGAACCTGGAGCTGTAGTTGCCATGCTTGGGGGTTATGCACTTGCATACTTTGTAGTGCTTTGTGGTTCCTTTGCATGGGGTGTGGACTCGGCCTCACCAGCATCAAAACGTCGACCAAAGGTTCTTGGAGCACACTTGGAATTTCTTGCGAGTGCAGTTGATGGTAAAATATCACTCGGATGTGATTATGCCACTTGGCGTGCGTATGTAACAGGGTTTTTGAGCTTGATGGTAGGCTGCACACAGAAGTGGGTTTTGGACGTCAATGTTGATGTTTTGAAAAGGCTGAGCAATGGATTGAGGCAGTGGAACGAGGAAGAACTGGCTATGGCTTTGCTTGGACTAGGTGGTCTCGGAGCTGCCAGTGCAGCAGCTGAATTTATTATTGAAATTGGAGTTTGAATTTTTGTCAGAAGCCCATAGCATAGACAACTTTGTTTGCTGCTTTGCTTGCTTTTCCAAGTGGATTTATTGCTGTTGCTTTCCTTTCCTGTAAAGATCATTGCATGTAGAGTTCTAACAGGGAGTTGAAGAAAACTAATCTTAATAACTCCTGTAAATATGGTTTAAAACATGTATTTTCCATGCGCTTGAACCAACTTTATTTTTGTTGAATTTAGTTAGTTAATTTATGTAAATCATTTTTAAAAAGAGATAATATTCAGCTGGTGTGAGAAAATTAAATTTCAGTATATGTAATTTTCTTATCTTTAGATTGTGTGTGTGTGTCTTTTTTTTTTTTATATAATTTATTTTGTTTCTTTCCTAGTTGATTGATTCAATTTAAGTTTTTTTCTTTTTCTTTTTTCTTTTTGTCTTTATTTATTTGCCAAAACCAAAAATAAAAACAAAAGCATGTAATCTAAATAAATAATTTTTTCCAGGAAAATAAAATCTTTTTAATAAATTTATTATTATATTATTACAACATAAATTTTTTTATTTTACTTTTATTATTACAAAGTAAAGAATTTTTTTTTTCCAAAGGCAGGAATACTACGTAATAACTTTGAGGAAGCAAAAACTAGTTACCATTTTAATTCAGAATTTAATTAAATTGATTTGTGCAGTATCTTTAAAACAGCCAATAAAATTTAACATGCCAGCATATCATAAGTCCAACAATTGCAACCCACGGAAATATCCGAACTCCGAAGTGTTGTGCTCTCAGTCTGATAGTTGTCGGAAGCATATATGGAGGCAAAGCCGTTCCCTCTAACCTGCGCACCCTCCTTGCCACCCTTGCTTCCACCCACTAACATGCGCTTCTCTCGTTTCAAGACCATTTTCCCATCTGGAGAAGGTTACTTCCTATAACTTCATTTTTCTACTGTCAAAGAAAGAGAATCAATCAAGCCTTTTTTTTATTTGCTCAAAAGTCCTTATCTTTTTGTTGGGTTTTTGAACAACTTATAATTTGCAGTTTTGAGAAGGAGTATGCCCAAAGAAGAACAACTTCTGGAAGGGATGCCGAAGGAGTATTACGATGATGTATGTTTCTCTTTTTTTTCTTTCCCTGTTTTTCCCCTATATTTTTTTACTTTTTACTCTCTGGTTAACACTGATAAATGGGTGCTCAAGTTTTGCGATTTATGGGTCACGTCTAAATTAGTTATTGCTTCTCTATGTCTCTCTCTGTCAAAAAAAAAAAAAAAGAGAAGCAATTACTACTCACCAAATTGTGGTACTTAATTCAGGTTTGTCCACTTTTGTGTCCAGACAGAGTTCACAATATGGTCTATTTACTGCTAATTTAACCATTTGACATGTAAATTGTAGCCTGAAATTCATTGATTACATATTCATATACCTGAAATTTAAAAGAGTTGTTCTTTATGAGATGAATGTATAAATATTTCAGGATACTGGGATGTGTGTTTTTATTTGATAAGTTTGGCCCTAGAGCATTGTTTGATTTACGATAGACGTACACATGCCAATGTCTAGGTGTAGATTCTGTTGATGTTTCATCAGGGCAGGTGGGCTGAATTGTTTGTAATGACTAGTCAGAAAATGGCACTGATATATATCTTGGTTAGGAATGGCAAGCCAGACAACGGGAAAAAACAAAGGAGTTGCATAGAAGACGTCGAGAGGAAGAGGAAGAAGAGGAAAGAAAGATTGAAGAATATCGTGAAATAGGTTTGCGTTTGATGGGGTACCCAGAAGAAGATGTCAGAAGAGCAAGAAAATTAGTTTCAAGCTTCATTAGGGCTGAAGAAGAGGTGGAAGAGGTAATATTTTTGTATTTATGTTTGCAGACACAGAAGCCAGTTCATTACCACTAGTTGATTTTGTCTCAACATAAGGTTTTCAGATAATGGAAATGTTTAACTTGAATTTATTTTCCTCTGGTAAAGTTTCTAACAAGGATAAGAATAATATCGTCAAGTTATACCTTTTTGCATCATTGTGGAAACTCAAAAGCCCAGCTGTTTTCTCTGAGGTTCAACAGCAATTGCCAAATGTCTTAGTGACACGTTCATGTTTTTAGTTGAGAAAAATCTGAGGTTTTTTGGTATAAATGAAGTTGTCTCATGATATCTTACACCCAAACTTGGACAAAGATGCTGCTTGGAGATAGGAACAGTATCTATTGATGGCTTGGGAACTCTTTTGCTTAAGCATGCATAGAACTTTTACAATGCTCTTCTTACCATCTTTGTCTTCAATAAATTAAAGTAAAACATCTCAAATAGGGAAAAGAAAAAGAAATTAAAGTAAAACTTTGGAAACTCTTAGAATAGCCTAATTTGACCTGATTATAAACACCAGGGCACGGAATTGCCATAGTTATCTTTCTCCCTCTGATCGTAAATAGAAACTGAACATTTTATTGACGTCACTTTGTGCTGATGGTCATGCCCATTGATTAACTTTACTCTAATGCAGAAAATTGAGGAGGCTGCGGAGAGAGGTGAACTCAATGAACTTGTGCTAATGGTCATATGGAATCGCCTTGATCTTGCTCGGCGTGATGTAAGTGGGTTTTTACTTTGTAGTACCTTTCCATTTTGGCAGCACTCAACTTTGCCTATTTTTTTTTTTCTATTTTCCAGCGAGCCTTTCTTTTGGAGATTTTACATGTCCTTGCAAAAATTTGCAGTAACTCATAAGAAACTTAAACAAATTTTGGATCCCACTCTGGGCATTTGAAAGTTTGATGTATCTCAAAAAATTTGGGAGTTTTTGAAAACCCTGGAAAATCATCTCGAGGTATAGAAAAATACAACAGTAGTAACAGTAATCAGATCCTTCAAGCAATTAAGTTAGTCTTTTCTATACCAAGCATGGCGTACTTGTTGATTAGGTACATGGAAACTAAACCCAAACTTTGTTGCCCAAGAGCAGATGCTTTTTTTCTTTTCAAAAGGGACCTCGTACCCCTGGGGGAAAAAGATACTCATTGATCTTATGTTACTCTGGCTTAAGAACCTGTTTCGTCGCACAGCTTACATCTTGAGCAGTTATGGTTGTTTGGTTACAAATTTGTTATATAATATGTACGCGCGCACACACACACACACACACACACACATATATATGGAAAACATTATGAAAAATTGATCATACCTGTCCCAGACGTAGATAAAAGCCTGACGCTTGTGTTCAAGTTTGAGCACTGTAGCATTAGACCTGGACTTTTAATTTTTTATGTGTACATGAGTTTACTTATACCATGATGCAAACTCTTCTAGCAAACATCCTTATGGGCCTCATCTATATTGTTATTTCAATGTAAATTAAGGGGATTCCTGCAATTGGAGTGAATCAGCCTTGTGAATGTTGTGTTTACCATAACAGTGCCTGATAAGAAGGGTTTCGAAAATAAATTCTATTCACAATGTGTTATGTAGTCCATGTAGTGACCTTAGGTTCTCTCTCTCTCTCTCTCTCTCTCTCTAGTGTATCAATTTAATACTTTGAACTTTTTCCAGGATGAAAAGGATGCCATTAGGAGTCTTGATCTCCTATACAGAAGAGTTGAGGTATGCACTGCACTAAATATTTTTATTACCAATGAGAATATGAATTCTGTTTAGGGGGTTTGCAGATGTTGATAAACTTGCAATGACTATTCAGAGAATCATCCTACTTATATTAATTATTTGATTGTAAATTTAACATGTATAATGCCAGACTAATTTGATGTTCAGTATTTAAAATCTTGAATCCTATCTCATTTTCTGATAAATGCCTCTGTCTGTTAGCGATCATCTTCAGAAATACCCAAAGCTTCCTGATGCATCAATTATTCTTTATCTGCATTAACCTTTAACCTCCAACCCTGAACCTTGTAATATTTGTCAGCACCTTGAAAAATCATTTTATTTCATGGATATGGTTGGTTTTGGATTTGCTTCATTGAGTTCGAATTTGATCAGTAAGACAAATCGCAATACGATTATAATCAACAGTTATCCATTCTAATACAGCAAAATGAGGTTTTGGGAATGAGCCTAATATGAGGCACCTAGAAATTACAGAAAATGATAAAACCTGTCAAAAATTTTCTGAATTGCTCTACTTTGCTGGAGTATGTGGATCCAGCTCATCTCATGCAGTAAGGGAATATTTTGTTTCTCACCTCCATTGCCTTTATTTAAATTCTTGCTGTAGTTAAACAATTACTACTAAACAATTGACAAAATCTAAGTTTTACTTTATAATTTAGACCGAGATACTGAAACGGGAGGCTACTCCTGCCATGAGACTGCTCAATGATCTTTTGAATATGCATGATGGGTTTGACGATGAAGGATGGTTGAAGGAATGTAAAAAACGCATGGCTGATGCTTTTCCACGGGAGGATCCATTTACTGTCCTTGTACCAGCTGGATTTGACATTGATAAGGTATGCTGCAAACAGAAATGCATGCGGTTGTGTTTTTTTTAATTATGAACTGCCACATGCACATATGGATATGATACATATGACATTGAAAATGCAATCATATTCATGAGTAAATCTAACATCTTATGTTTAAGCTGTTTCTATTATTATGCTTCTCTCTATGCTGAATGTATGCCTATCTATTATATCTTAGCCTCTGTACTTGTAGAGCCTAGTGTTCTAGCCTTCTTCGTGAGACCAAGCTAGCTAAAAAGTGGCATTGAGGCACTGTCCTTGTTGCCTGTCGAAAAGAGCTCACTGAGAAAGTTATACCTTTCTGAAGTACCATAGAAAGCAAAATGCATATAAATACAATTTGTTAAATAGGCATCGTGAATTTAGTCAAAATGTATAAAGACATTCTCAATTAGCGAATGCAGTGACCTGCTCATAAATGTTATAGTGAAACAAGAACCTTATAATTAACTTATCATGCCTGACTTTTCTATCAGCATCACGGGCCATTGTCACTGCCACTTGAAGCTGATGATATTCTTCTGAGAGTGGATTTTGTAAGAGAGGTTGATGCTTTGCTACAAGAGGTTCGATCTGAACAAAATGAAGCACAAAGCGCACAAGGGCTTGATCCAGAATCTGTTGCACTAAGATTGAAGGAACAGGAGAAAAAACGAACCATACACCGAGTTGAAACTCTAGTAGACTTGGCAATTAATTTGAAGTGGTAGCTCTAGTTTTTTGTTTTCGGGTGAAAGAGGGAGCCTGATTATTGGGGGTTCAGGAGAAAAAAGGCATCCAGTTTTCCCTCATCAGCTTCTGCATAGTTAGATTTTGGCTTGGAAGATCCAATGAATCTTGTACCCATAGTTGGATATGGCATATGTACTTGTAGGAGTATATAGTATAGGTTACAGATCACTGGTTTTATCATGCCTAGCAATTATTGGTTTTACAGGTGGAATGCATCGTCGCAATGGACAACATGGATTTGCAAGCTTCTATTCTTCCTTTCATTCTCCAGATTCATGATGCCTCCTAGCAATACAGAAGTTTCGTTCCCAGAAACTTACTGGGAGCTACAGAAATGACTTGCCCTTGTTTTCTCATTAAGGGTTTGAGTTGGAGGCTGGACCTTTCTAAAACTAAATCCAACAGTCTCAAGTAATCAAAATCACCCTATTTATCTAACTGAAAATCTGAATGCAGTTGGCCCATTTATGCAGCTGAAGTTTATATTTTTCATTAGAACGTAAATGGACAGACAATTAGTTTAAACTATTATTTATTGAAAAGAAACTGGTGGATGTACAGCATTGCTCACCTTGCAAACCATCCAGTTTTGCATGCTTCAATCTGTTGTCACACAATTATTCTGCAAATATAACGACACAAAAAAGAAGGTTGTACCTCTATCATTTACCGGTCTACAAAGCTTTCGAAGAAGAAAATGGAGGGTGAAAGGGGGATACATTAACTACCACCAGCGCAGGCTTCAAATAAAGTGCAGCTGTGAGACTTCATTTCATAAGCAACTAATCCTGTCGTTTGCTCAGGAACAGCCTTACCATCAGCTGAGAAAAAAGCTGGGTATGGTAAAGATGTGTCTACTAATCGACGCCATGACATCCCTTGAAGAGGTGGGGGTAGAATAATGCTCTCTGCTTTATCAGCCGCATTAATGGCAATAAACAGGTCACCCTTCAGTTGAGAAGCCTCAGAGCTCAGCTGGCTCTCTGCTTTGTCAGCCTTCAATGTCATAGCCAGGAATTTGCAGGAGGGGTCTTGCCATCCTGGCGGAGACCGATTGATTCCTTGCCATTCAATATTTTCTTCTTTGAGAAAGCTCCTTTTCTGAAGAAGGTCGCTTCGCCTCATTCTAAGCGAACTAAAAAATGAGATAAACTTGGTTGTTTGAATACCAAAACCTGTTGTCATGGCATTCCAATCTAAAAATTTTCTGCTATCATATGACAGGGAACCTCCAGAAGATTGGCCACATTCATCCCCCATGTTAAGAACAGGAACACCCAGCGAAACAAACAAAATAAAGAGAAAATTACGAATTTGTTTCAGTCTTCTTTCAAGAACAGCAGTTTTAGTTGTAGGTCCTTCTTCCCCACAATTCCAACTTATTTCTGAAGCTAACTCAGCATTACAAAAGCTGACCAAGTCCACAAGAGGAAGTCCAAAATTCTTGGCAATAAAATTGAAAGAAAAAGCTGGGCCTCGTCCATCTGAGAATATGTCCCCACTCCCACAAAGCCGTGTAGCAAGACTACTCAGAGCACCCTCACCCCTCAAAAAGTTCCTTATATCAGTACAAAACTTTGAATTCATTTCTGCCCATTTCTTCCAATGAGGAAAACGAATTTCCTTTGGCATCATGTTCTGTGGATCCCAGCAATCTGCGATGATTTTAGTCATGGAGAGCAGTGGATCAAAAGCTATTGCTTCAACCAAGGGAGGGCGAGACAAATGTTCACCATAAAACCCTCTCAACAGACATGAAGCATTGATGAAACAGAAGCCATCAATGTGGAATTCAGTCACCCAATGCCGAAGACTATCTAAAATCATCTGTTGAACAACGGGATAGTTACAATTCATAGCATTTCTAGCTTCTAAATCTTCAATGTTGTTCCTGCAATAATAGGATAAATCATCAAGTCCTTGCAGGGCTCGACCCTCAGCAGTATGGGTAAAAACCACTTCCAGGAAGACCTCTATCCCATTGGCATGCATGTTCTTAACCATCTCCTTAATTGAGTTAATAGCAGATACAGAACCATTAGCAGGCCCATACAGGTTCATTGGCGAAAAGAAATGACATGGGAAATATGGTCCCTTGTGCTCATCAAATGTAAATATTGGCTCTAATAAGACAGCATTGATGCCAAGATCTTTTAAATGCTGTACTTTCTCAGTTACACCAGAGAAAGTTCCTGCCACATTAGCAGGTAGCTTACTAGACTTGTCTTCAGTAAAACGCATAACATTCAACCGATATACTACTAACTTTTCCATAGCTATGTTTGGAAAAACATCACCACTCCAGTCAAAAGCAGGCTCCTTGCATAGTCGACCAAGATGCTTCAGGAGCAGACCAGACTCACAATGATTAGGAATGGAACTACCAATTATTTTAGCATAAGGATCCAAAAGAACACGCTCTGCATGAAATGTGTCTCTGTCCCCCTTGCATCGATACCCATAGCTCACAAAAGTCCATGCACCTTCAATTGAAGCATGCCAAATGTCACCAGTTCGATTAACATAAGGATCAAGATCGAGCTCTAAAGCAGGTTTTTCTGATGCAGTATCATCATACAAGCACAGGACCAAACTTTCTGCGTTTCTTGAATAAACTGCAAAGTTCATGGAACCATCAGATGAAAAGGAAAGACCCAATGGAGCAGGATACCCTTGATCAGAACCAATTGGTACACAAAAACTAGTCTTTCTATGACTCCTGATTTCCAAACGACTTGAATTTGCACCTGAGGAGGCTTTCAGCAAGAATGAGAAGTAGCATGGCACTTCTTTAGCTTCAAATTCGAACTCAAGTGCCAACTCACTAGAAGACCTTGCTATAAATGGGGTTTCAATGATCCTGTTTTTGATATGTTGATCAGATCTGTATATTCCCCCACTTAGCACCAGCTGACTTTCATCACTGGATAATTGCAGGGATGAAACTTCAATATCAACTACATATTTGACACTTTTCTTTCTAACAAAAACTTTGACCTGACCACCAATTTCTGTCCTAAACAGATAAGTCGATAGGTTTTTAAGTTCATCAACTTGGCTAGTTTTAGTAAATGATTGTTCAGTTTGCTCAAAAGAAACTTGTGATGCCGCAAAGCATCTCAAATCAAGACTCCAATGTGGAGATTGCACGGCATTTTGTACAACTTTTCTAGGGAAAAGATTTCTTCCTACATCTATTCCCTGAAGGTTCTGTCCCTTTTTGTTTTTACAAAGAAAATGGGTGACAACCGACAATTTAGACAATTCACTGGCCCCAAAGTTCAGGCAATGGGGCCCTATTGTAAGGGATGGAGAAAGAGTTGCCATATATTCTTGCAGAAGAAAATGATTCTGAACAACAAAGCAGAACAAAATCCTCCCAGACAAGGAGATAATATTCCTTACTGAATTTGAGACGTTTTTCTGTTTGAAATTAGAAAAGAGTTAGCTCACTGAATCAGTAAACCAAGACAAAATAACTCTTTTAATTGGTTTTAGATACCAAGGCCTTAAAAACATTCAGACACAGAAAGCAATCAAATTCATGTTAGCATAGGCAATCGTAGAACATCAGGCACTCAACGTGAAAAAGCAGTCAGATAAATAAATAATTGAACATAGAGAATGCAGAAAAATGATATATCTATATGAAAAACAAAAGCAAGAAAACCCCATATAAATCGCAGTGTAAGAAATTATGGGAAATTTGAAATATAAGAAGTTAATAACAATGACCCAGTTCACAAAAGAAGCATATGTGGTAGTAATGAACCCAGATTAATGCAAAGAATAAAGGAAAGGAAGCAAATAAGAGGAATTGAAAGTAGAACTTACAGCATTGGATTCTATATATGAGCGAGAGAAGCTGAAATTGATTGCTGAAAAACCAATAAATAAAAGGAGAGAGTGAACCCAGAATTATAAATAAATAAATAAAAGTTGCCAGAAATAGTAGAAGAGAGGAAGTGCAATCAGTGCAGATTTGTCGTTGCTTGATATTTATAGCTTTCCCGAGGACCGCATAACGCATTCATCCATGATCTAACCTTTTTTTAAAATTTTTTTTCTACAAGCGCCGTTGTGACTGAAACGCTGCGTCTCACCAGAGAAATCAGCTTTCCGTTTTGATGTAAAATTTGTTGCAGGATTTTTTTTATGACATATATATATATATATATATATATGAAACTCACCAAGAAATTGCTATTGTTGAATACAATTTAAGGCTAAATTTGTATAATGAATTGTCATATCACATACCAAAAATGAAAAATCTAAATTTACTACACTAAAGGACTGAAATTTTTAAGCAATCAAAATCCGATGAGAATGGTATCAAATTCACCAAAGCAAACCTTTTCAAGTTGAAAAGGTTGAATGTTGATACAACCATCATATTCACAACCAACTTTATGAACGTTTTATAAACAACGAATACGTTTCAATCTTGCCGTATCTACAAGAAGAAGAAGAAAACAATGACCAAATGGTGATGGTTTCTGCCTAATATCTCTAACTACTGTGAGTAGAACTCGCTTCGGAGCCCTCTTTACTGGTCCTCTTTGTCGCAACAAGCGGGCTGTTCTCCTCCTCAAAAATCAACTGCGGTCTGTCAAGGTCGCTGCCCTTGAAAACTGGATGTATATAAGCATCCTTGAGGTAAGCTTTCAAGTTTAGGTTTGGCTCTGTTGCCCGTTCCAGGGTATCTTTGATCATTGCATCCTTTGTTTTGATAAAATATATATATATATATATATTGTCAGATAAAAAATGTCACATATACTCACCCTTCCTACCAATTAATTCAAAGTAGTAATCCTAACCTGTAATGGGAATTTTACAAATGCTGATTCAAAACGGCCCTTGCAGTATCTGCGAAACCAGAGAGTCAAAATAGGAAGGGGAAGGAGTGCAATTGTTGATTTCTCAATCTTCTTTGTGCTCAACAATCCCATTAGAAGAAGTTGAGATATTATTAAACCGATAATCAGACGCCGATGCACATCTGGCCAAAATGAGCCTCCACTCTCGTATCTTTGATCATACACGTTGATAACCTTTCAACAAGAAAGAAGATTGTGAACAAAGAACAGGTAAGTACTATACCATGAGATGAGACCATTTCGCAATAATAACCGTGAGAGCAAGAAATAATGAATATTGGCGCAATATGCTTCACGTAGCCGAAAGGGAGGCCGTCTCGTGACCTTAATTGTTACAAATGACTGACTGAGAGGACCATCTTCAAAACAATGAGAAATAAATTGTATGGTTCTATTCTTACGAGGCAAAAAGCAGTCCTACCTAAACTACGGATGCTATATCTCCATTATGAATTTGTCTAACCGCCCAGCAGGGTACAACTCCAAGACACTAATATGACATAGGATGAATGAAAGGAAGCAAAAGTGATCTACGTATGTTTCCAGCATTTATTTAATATATAATGGAATGAAAGGAAACCTACTAAGCTTCATATAGCTTAAACATGAAAAGAAAATACAATATTTGGTTAGATAGTGTACCTGGTGACGAAATACCAAATAGGAAAAAGCAAAGAAGATGATGATGAAAGGAAGAAGCACAGGTGTGACAGCAGAGTAAACAAGTCCGAGCAAGATATATAATTGTATCCTTGGTTCAGATGTAGCAAAGTCCAGGCAACCAGGATCCATTGCTTGCTCCCTATCTTGTTCTGTTTTCACTAAAAATGTATTTTTCAGGTGGAACATGACTAATGGTACTAATCTGAGGATTTCTGCAGCAATCCCCGCCCATCCATCGACCATTACGTAAGTAATGAAAAAAGTGGCTTTCATTGGAATAGATACACCAACAGTTTTTGGAATCCTGCATAAGTAACAAAATATCCCTAGTCAATCACACCTCCATATTGTCAGGTATGTTAAAAAAAACAGCATGATATAAATAGCACGACAAAGAAAATCTGGTCTCTGGCGTGCAGACACAATGATATACTAATCAGCAGAACATCAAATCAGAAACATGTTAATGGAGGATAATTACAGAGAAAAAGCATGCACTGCAACTGAAAGAGAATAGAAGGAATGAAAGGGTAAAAAATGAAGAAAATCAGTGGTCCAGCATTGATTAAGAACTAAGGTTGAATATCTCAGTTCAGATCACCAAAACCTAGAAAAAGAGATTGATACGAATACCTAGTGAATTAGCACGTTTGAGTTCATTGCTGCTCTAACTTAATTTCTTGATGCAACAACCTTGGCTTTTGACCATCAATTGTTTCAGTATTCAAAATGCAGGTGTGCATCGTAGTATTAAATGTGTTAACCCATCCATTTTTCAGGGAAGAGGTAGGTACATACTCTGTTGGAGGCTGATCAAGGAAAGTTTTAAGCTGCTGCAATGCTGTGCCTGTGATAATACTTCCAAGAAATACATTGACCAGAATGAATAAGTGATATTTCCCAGCTGATCTTCTATCCAAAGATGAGAGTGATGAAAATCCTTCTATTTTGGACATCGTCATAAGAATTGTTGGAAGTAGAATAAGAAATATCTTCAGTGCAATCCCAGGGAGAAAACCTTGGATGACAGACTTGAAAGAATCCCTGAAAAAGTGTTTTCCGACAATTGAAATTTTAGCTACTACAAGTCTCAAAACATCATTACTAGTTGCTAGGGATACGGGAAACCTAATGGTTATGTCCAGATATCAGCCTGTGATTATGATCAGGTAATAAACTTCCTGCAGTCGCTCATATACATCTATTTTCTTCCGCTCCCACTGGGAGCCAGTTTGAGCAGTAAGCAGGGTGAAAATTTTCTACAGTTCACTATGGTAATTACACCAAAGAGAAAGGTGTAACTTTTCATCATGGCAAGTCCGAAATTTTGCTATGTTACCAGCGGCAAATTCCTAAATAGGAGCAGAAGTAATTGGTGTTATAGTGTTTTCACAAGGTTCAAGAAAGAGTTAAAAACTTCCTTCCCTATCGATTTAATTTTGGTAGTGCCATCCCTAACAAGTCCTGCTTGAGAAAATGGTTAGACAAGATGGAGGTATAAAAGCAGGACACTTTTAGTTGGTCAAACACATGAATGACTATTGTTATAGGGATGAAAATATTGAGGACACATAAGGAAATGCTACGTTAATAGGACAACACTGAAAAGGAACTTACATTTCTATTAGTGGCTTCAAGAAAGGAAAAACCTTCTCAATCCCCTCAATGTTGGCTAGAGATTGAACGAAAGCTATAGGGATCATGAAGAAGAAAATAAGAAAAAATAGTGCAACAGCCATTAGCAACCTTCGAATAGAGAGTTCAAAATATGGTATAGCAAGATTGTTCCAATAAACATCACGTGGTTCAGCGGCCCATTCTGTCAACCAAATTGTTGGGTTACGGGATAGCTGAGTTTGAGCACAGACAGCCGCCGCCCACCGGGATTTGAATGAAACGAATGCTGCTGGAACTATGGCCTTTGGATCACTCATGACTTTGTCTCTTTCTGCAGCTTCCTACATAAGAATAACAAAATTACAGTTTCCTTATGAGTAACTAAATTACACATTAAAAGAAGGGGGAAAAAATATTCTAATGTTCTCTTTGACCACATGCAGCTTTGTGTCTCTCCTATTCCTTACTGAAGAGGAGGAAGAGAATATGATGTTTCCTGGGAGGTAAACTATACGTCATCTTGCCTCGATCCTATCAATTCTTACCTTAATTGAATAAGAAGATTGAAAGTAAAAGTTTTTCTCATGTTTCAATGCATGTGTGCCTGGGAGGAAGTAGGGGACAGAGTGCTTATTAACCAAGAGAGATAATATAGCAATTAACAATGGAAATAGACTTTTCATTGGAAACTTTAACCATATAAATACAACCTCAGTACAGGACAGTTTCAGCATCAAAATACACGTGCTAACAAAGTGTTTAAATTATTTCCCATTGTTTCAAAAATGATGATGGCAGAAATAGAAGTAGTGATAGTTGTAGAAGTAAGAACAGCAGGTACAAAGTATTGCTAGAAACGATATATGAAATTAAAAAAAAACCCTAGTACAGTCACTCTGTGTTGAAACTTACTGCTTCACTCAGCTTCTGAATCTCTGAAGAGTAATAATCGATTGCATCAACTTTAGTGCCAAAAAGACCACAGAAACCTGTCTATAATAATAAAAAATTTTGGATAATGAACTAGAAAGCTAAATCAACATGGAATGCTAAATGTCATTTCCTGTACACGTTAAACAAACTATTCAACGAAGAAAGGAAATGAAGCCAAATACATGTCAATAGTAAGTTTTCATGCAAAGATATTACCTTTGTGGCCGGCCTGTTTGAAGTTCTCTCATATTTATTAAGGTAGTAAGTATACCAATTCTGCAAACTCTTCTTCTTTTCAACCAATGTCGCGAGCTTATTTGCATTATATACAACCTATCAAAGTTACATGGTAAAGCAGTTTATGTTATAGAAATTTATCTCACATGCAAATGGAAAGATAATACTTCCAAACACCATCAGTTCCAAAAATTGCAACATATTAAATTTCCCTGTTAGACGACCTATTTTCCTTCTTTCTTACAGGAAACACACCTGATGAGTAAGATAATAATCAGGGTGATTTACGCAAAAATAATGTTCGACATGCTCACTAACTGATTCATCAGGATCAGGAGGAACATTTCTCACAAGAACCTGCAAAACATATTAAAGGTAAACAAAAGAAAGCTAAATTAGATATAAATAATAAAGCTGGGATGAGATAAAAATGCTCTAGCAGGCATGCACGTGCATGTTGATAGTTTCAAACATGACAGGAAGCTGCATATAATTGCCAAATTGCCCTCTATCTGACAACAACAGCATACACCCCTTTGATTCAATCAACTTTGAGTAGAATGACAGAACAAGTCCTTATGCAGACACCACTATAATTAGGACCTAC